GGGGGGGGGGGGGGGGCACTTGCCCCCCAGGACCCCCTAGGTCCGCCCATGATATTGGATAGTTGTTTTTTCTTGTACTTCGCATAAAAAAGTCTCTGAATTTGACGAACAAACATGTTTGTTTATTTAATTATATACACGTAGGTGCCAGTACATTTATGCATTTTGTTATTTTGGCACTAAAAAGCTCAAACTGGGGCACTTGTTTGAAAAATATATTTGTTGTTCGGGAGTCTAGTTATTGGCTTCAGCCTCAGGTGGACTGTTGGAATGCATGTGTAATGGGCGGATCTGGGGGGCGGTCCTGGAGGGCACGTCCCCCCACCCAACTTTTGAGTTTTTTTTTTAATATATAAAATCATGTTTGGTATTAATTTGAAATATAAATTTTAATTTAAATTGAGTTAATAATTAATTTTAAAAACATATTTCATGGAATCCCTAACTTTTAACTTTTATCAAAATTTACTAAAAATTTAATTTTAATCTCCATCAAATAGGGGCAAAATCACAAGAAATTTTAATTTTTTTCTCACCTTTTAACAAAATCTTAACTCTCCATCAAATAAGGGCGAAATATTGCATTCTTAATAGCATTTCGAAGTGTTCACAGTCTCGTCGTTAATGACGTACGAAACGATCAATCGTAGCAAATGCTACGACTTGTCAAAGTCGTTCAAAACTAGTACTTCAAAAATTTCGATAATATACTAACTTTAAAATTTTTTTGACGATCGTAAGCTAATCGAATTTACAAATTGCTTATGTCATCTCAAAACTTATTTCAAGAACTATATTATAGGCATATTAAATAATCCAAACAGATATCGAAAATAATTAAAAATTCGTTAAACGTGAGTTTTAAATAAAGATGTTTAACTCTCATTTTCTTTAAAAAAATTCAATTCTTTCATTAACATTTATTATTTTTGCAATACAAATATCTCAATATAACTTTTATCATTTTATTAGGAAATTTTATATGGAATATGACATAATTTTCTTTCGAAATTTTACATTTAAAAAAGTCATATCCCACGTAAATTTTCGGGTGCAAAATTACATGAGGTGTGATTTTTTTGGACGTAAATTTTCGATTGTAAAATTTCTCCAAATTTCTTTACAAGTTCGATTGTGCCCCTTAACGTTTAAGTTCTGCGTCCGCCCCTGTGTGTATATGCACCTATAGTATGTTGACTTTTATGTCACTACTATAATTATAAGTTCGTTCAGTTTGATATTTGATTTTAATACGCATCTCTACACTACACACCCGTCTTTATAAAAAAGAAGGGAATTTTTGTACATCTTCAGAACAAGAAATGCAGGAGGATTGTTTGATCCTGCTGGTTCATTATCTTCTGGTGTCATTAATAGTGAAATGGAAGAGTGACATCGATACCGATGATAGAAAAGCTTAGCCGATGCCTCTAAAATAAATCGATTTCACTAAAATTGATATTGACAAGTTTCCAACTGTTGTTACTATAGGATGCCCAAATGTTGGGAAGTCAGCACTATTTAATCGGTTAGATTTTTCTTGTTCACCTGTCATTGCTGTAGAGTTAAAATTTAAGCCTTACAATGCATATTCTTTTCTCCATCCTTCTGTCTTTGTCTTGTGATTGTTGTGTGAATAGCAGTTTGATACGAAGGAGGGATGCCCTTGTTACGCGGATGTACGAGATGGGGTTGCTAAATTGGGAGATTTATGGTTTCGTGTTTTAGATTCAGCTGGCTTGGAAGCAGAGGCTTCGTCAGGTTCTGTTCTTGGCACAACAGCAGCAATGACATTGACGAGCTCCCAATTTGCTCTCTTCCTAGTAGATGTAAGATTAGCCTTGTTAGTAAGTTTTTTAGAATGTGGATTTTACCGTTGCAATTGAAACAATCTAATGCGCAAGCAGTTATACATCTCAACACACAACTTATAGATGTGTTTTTCAGCAAAGTAATATTTGAGAACCATATAACGTGAGTACGCAGGATCATTGGTGGAGTGGAAAATTCGTTGTAAACAATTAAAAAGTTACAAAACAGAAGGCTTTGTAGCACTGACGTGTCAACTAGGATAACGTGTCTGTGTCGACACATGTCGGATATTGATATTCCTCGAACACGCTGTCATGGTTTTTTTTTTATAAAATATAAAATATATTTTTAATTTAAAGTTATTATCAGTAGCAAATAGGTACACATATTTAAAAGATTTTGACAAGAAAAATTAATAACAAGTATAAAACTAAATTTATATTATATAAATGAAGAATTTTAAAAAAAATTAATCAAGGCGAATGCAAGCAATTTTAGGAAAGAAATTTTTAGAAACAAGTTTTCAACATTATACTCTTACTATTTTTCTTAGAGCCCGTTTGGTGCACATTAAAATGAGATAATGTATTTTTTTGAAGTAATGTGATGGAGAATATGTGGTTGAAAAAGAAGGAAAAATTATTGATGTGATAGAAAATATTATTTTATTGAAGGATGTGTGGTTGAAAATGAGTATAAGAATGAGAATGAAGAAAATAATGTGGATCAAACATGGGCTTAATGAGATAAATTTCATGACATGTTTGGTATTCGATTCTTTTAATAATAAGTAATTTGGTAATAGATTCCATACACGCCAAGTTAATTTCAACAGTATTAAAAAAGCACTATTTAGACCAACTTTGGTATAGATTTTTTGAAACTAATTTTTTCTCAAACTTATTATTGATTTCATATTTTTTAAATAAAATAATTTGCAAGTAGACTCATAACATTTTCTTACTTTTTAACATGTATAAGAGCCTAAATAGAAGTAGAGGAGGGGATTTTGGGATTGCATACTTAAAATTTGGAATTTGAATGGAAGAGATTGTCGGAACCAAGATTGAGACTTTGTTTTGCCGAAGAAATGTTTGGGCTAATAGGCCTTTTTCAATATACTTATTTGTGCAGTTGAGTGAACCGATTGATTCAAAATCGATTTTACTTCCTTCAAACCTGTCTCTACTTCCTTGCGATTGATTGTTGAAAGAGCTTTCACTTAAGCCTTCTTCATAAAATTTATTCTAAGAAATTATGTATAGCAAACAAGTCCTTGTTCTCATTTATCTCTCCCCCTCGAAAGCTACAAAAGAAACATATACTCGAACAATGTGTTACGAAGACCAGTGTAGTGCTATTTTTGTCAATTTTCATCAAACTTACTTTTCTATCTGCTCTTGTCAGAGCCTTTTATTACTGTGAAACGGATCATCCAATAAAAACGTATAGGCCCATAAAATGAGCACAGAAGACACGGCGGCCGCCAGTGCTACCGGCGTGGTGGTGGTGGAGTTGCCACTAGGAGATGCCGCAGCCACATTCAATCTCGAGAAAGCAGTATGCAGCCACGGGCTATTCATGATGGCCCCCAACCACTGGGACCCACAGTCCAAGACTCTCCAGCGGCCCCTCCGCCTCAATCTCGATCCCCTTCACGAGGACCATGAAGCTTCACTCATGGTTCAAATCTCTCACCCTATTCACTCCCCTCACGTGCTTCGACTCTGCGTATTTGACACCAGCTCTCTCTCCCCTCAACATCAACACTCCCTGCTGGTAGGCACCTTTTTTTTTTCTTTCTTGTACTTAATTGTTCTTGAAAGTTTTGATTCTTAACGCATGTTGTTGTGCTTGACGTTGATACTGTTGGGTTAAGCTTCTTTTCCTGTTTCTTAAGTTCTTTAAGAGTACAGAATTTTTTTTTGTCCGGGTACAATTTTTGGTGCATAATGTACTGCACCATAGTTGATGGTTGGTGCAATTTTCCTGCTTCTTAAGTTCTTGTTTTATAAATTTTCTAGATGTTGTGCCTGCTTTTACATATCTTCCTTTAGCACTGGTATTTGTTTTTATGAGCTGTATGTTGGTTTCTTGTTTGCATTTGGGGATATTTAGTTGGGTTATCAATTATAGGATCAAGTAAGGAGAATGTTGAGATTATCGGACGAAGAGAATCGGAGGATAAGGGATTTTCAGGAAGTACACGAGGAATCAAAAAACAGGGGGTTCGGAAGGGTTTTCAGGTCGCCAACGTTGTTCGAGGACATGGTCAAATGCATTCTCCTTTGCAATTGCCAGTGAGTGAGCCTTATCTTTTGTTCAAGAATATGTTTGGCCTTTGCTAATTATGCCTTTGCCTAACTATTCTATGTTGGCCATAGTTTCCAAATGAAAACAAGGAAACTTGTTAATAAGGGAAATCAAGCTCTATAACTTCTAATGCAGAAAATATTGAATAAGTACTCGGGTTAAAAAAATGTCACAAGGCAATATGATCTTGGCTACCTGTATATCTTCGATTTCTACGACGATCTTTGAACTTCAGAATACTAAAACCTTGACGTAAATAAGTTGGTGGTAACATATTTTGGATTTTGTTTCATATAATTGTGAATTTTTCATCCAGAAATGATGAATGAGACCAAGCTTCCACTTTTAGGTCACAGGATTCTGCTTTTGGCTTCTTGTCATTCTGATTCAAGTATAATTATCAATTTAGCCTCTGCAGCGAGATAAAAAAAACTAAGATCTTGGCAAATGTACTGTCTAGTGCGATATGTAATTGTGTACGAAATATGCTCGATTTGCGTAGTTTGCGTTTGTTGTAGTCAACATAGTTGCCATTGAGTAAACCCCGATTTGCAATGATTGTCCCTCTGAAAATTGGTGTAAAACATAGAAGTCGAAGTAAGAAGTTAATAGAAAATATTTACTCTGTACTTTTGTGTTAATTGAACTTCTCTTTTGCAGATGGTCAAGGACGTTGAGTATGGCTAAAGCACTTTGTGAACTCCAGTTGGAACTACAGCTTCCCTTGTCTAATGAATCTCTTGTGTGTGCTGGTAATGAAACTATTTCTGGTTGTCAAACAGTTGAAACCAATCCGTTTGTTCCAAAAACACCTTCAGGGAAAGAGTCGAAGAAAAACCCTGGAGTTCGCAAATGCTCAATCAACTTAGCGAACAGATATGCAGAGGTTAAAGAAACAGAAGACAATGCTAACTTGGAAGAAAGTTGTGTCCAAATTTCAGACCGTTCCCAGGTACCTGGAATCTTAGTGCATGTTTGGTTAGGCTTAAACGATACTTTTCTGGGAAGCAAATTTTTTTGTTAATAAAAAGTAACTTCTAAGATTATGTTTAGTAAAAAAAAGAAGCATCGAGTTAGTTTTACTTCTTTTTAAACTTAGCCAAAAAGAGGATTTAAAGGAGGATTTTTTAAGCATCGTGATCGTGTAAAAAATCCTATTGCTATATGGCTGATTGCTGTTGTTTTCCTGCTTCTAAGCCTTTAGGAGGGAAAGGAGTTTCCTCCTGCACTAAGATTGGAAATTTCCCGAGCCCAAGAGAACTGGCTTCCCTTGATGAGAAGCTTTTAGCAAAACGGTGCAATCTAGGCTATAGAGCAGGTCGTATATTGAAGCTTGCTCGAGAAATAGTTAAGGGTAGTATTCGACTAAGAGAACTTGAAGATGTCCGTGGTACACTAAGCTTGTCTGAGTATGATAAGTTGGCGGAGAAGCTGAAAGTTATAGATGGATTTGGACCGTTTACTTGCGCTAATGTACTGATGTGCATGGGATTTTACCATGTCATTCCAACTGATTCAGAAACTATTAGGCATCTAGAACAGGTCTATTTCTTTTCTACGAAACTAGCCTTTTACCATCTAGTTCATTCATTCCCATCTTCCCAGCGTTATGCTTTAAGCCCTCTGTATATAATCAGGTTCATGCCAAAAGCTCAACAATTCGGGCAGTTCAAAGAGATGTTGAAGTGATTTATGGGAAATACGCACCATTTCAGTTTCTAGCTTATTGGTAAGTTGTTATAGATAACAATTTCTCTGTTTCAAGCCTTTTCTTCTACAGTTTGGACTCGGGTTTAAGTATTCTAGCCGGGCTTTCTTTTGAACAGGTCAGAAGTGTGGCAGTTCTATGAGGAATGGTTTGGAAAGCTAAGTGAGATGCCCCCTCCTGGTTATAAACTTATTACTGCTGCTAATATGAGGCCAAAAAGAAATGGAGAAAATAAGAGGATTAAGGTATCGTTGGACAATATTTAATAATAAAAACAAAGTGTAGTATGATTTATGCTCTTTGTATCAGTGCATACCTACTATTTATATGATGTAAACAAGATTTGGTGTTATAATTGTTCTTTTTCTCTTATTAAAGTTATCTTTTGTGTTTGAAAATGTTGTCGAGGGTATATTTATTCTCTAGTGTTGGTATGATCCACCAATTCCTCCCTTTTTTATATGTCAAATCATGCTACGTTGACATAATTCTTGACACAGCGGTTGACATAATGTCACATGTCACTTCATCATTGGACTGTTTTAAATACAGCCAGCTTTTTCATCCAATCACTTCATGCCAACATTCATTATGTTCTGTCATTCACCTCCTGACAAAGTGGCATAACTCATATTTGTAAATGCAGATTCTAAGATAAAGCTGTCCAATTGCTGGACATCTGCTATCTTAGAATGAATTAATTAATCAAACCATGCTAGATGCTGAAGATGAAGAACGTGGTAAATGTTTTTACGCTGATGTTTTACCTCAGGCTGTAGCCTCTGGTGGTGTATCAGGCTGCTTTCCTGGCATAGCATCTTGAAAAGCAGGGAGTTCTTTGTACACCTCGTTAATCCTCGACAGGATAGGAAACTCATTCTACCCACATATCGAGGTTAAACTTATCAATGGCAAATTATCCCATACAAATACAGGTGTAGATAAATGCACCTACATTTAGGAATTAAATGCAATGAGGCATGGTAAAACAGGTCTACGGTGCAGTCCTTGAGAAAAGAAAGATGTGTACTGATTTAGTAGTTGTTAAAAATCCACAATAAATACGATGCAGATGAAAAGACTGAAAGCCTAAATAGCGTAGACTCACTGATGTATTCTTTTTCTCTTCTTAAAATTATCTTTCGTGTTTGAAAATGTTGTCGAGGGTATATTTATTTGTTGGTATGATCCTCCAATTCCCTCCCTTATATATATCGAATCATGCTATAGTGACATAATTCTTCACACAATTGTTGATATAATGCCGACATTCATTATATTTTGTCATCCACCTCCTGGCAAAGTGGCACAATCCATATCAGTAAATGCTGATTCTAAGATAAAGCTGTTCAATTGCTGGACATCTGCTAGCTTCATTCTCATTTTTAGACCTAACTTCCGAAAATAAAGAGTAATAAATTAGAGCAAGTTCAACCGTAAGAAATAAGATAATCAGGCTAGGACCTGTTTATATCTCTTGAAAATGAACAATCAGGTGGAAACTAATTATAAAGATTTTACATGGTTTACCCTTTTTATTTTTTTGAATATTTTAAATAAAAACAATAGGAGAATAATATAGTTCTCTCTCATATATTTGCATTTGCTAAATCTCCATTGATAATCTGTCTACCATTTTCGTTTCATTAGGGTTTTGCTTCCTCCTTGCAACAACTATTTTTCCTATCACAAATTTTCCAAAATAAAGTAGCATCCATCAGTGGTCATCACTTTCTTAAGTCGAACATGGACTGGCTTCTACCCATAACTGGTCTGCTTCAGGCCACCCTGGCTGGTCTAGTCCAATCGATACCACTATTTTTTCCTCCCCAGAAAATGTTCAATATACTAGGCCAAAAAATCGAGCTTTCTTACCATACTTTCATTGTTTTGAGTTGTTAAATAGTAACAGTTCTAACCATGTATTGCCACTTTCCATCGACAATATGGTTAAATCTTCCATTCGCTGAGCAAATTGTATCTCATTATTAGCTTTCACCTCCACGATATAAGCCAGTTGACTGCCTTGCAAAGGACTAGACGTTGCACTAATGTGAAGGAAAAAAAAGAAGGTAAAAGTACAATAGCATACAACTTTTCATTGAGAAACCACTGAAGTATACAGGATAATGCATCTTAAAGATGCTTATTCATCAAACTAAACAGTAATATATTTTACATAAAGCATCTTGCAGCACTAAAAAAATACTCCAGTAGCACCATAAGTGCATGTGAATTACTAATGAACAATATATTATAGCTTATTTCTTTCCTTAATGCTTCTGGTCACTCTTTCTGCTCTGCCAGCTTAATGAAATTGTGCTCCATCCTAGAATCCTGACACAACGAAGTGCTGGTGTTGAACGCCACGAATGTTTCGAACTAAACAACATAACAAGAATCAGAAGAGTAAGTCATTCGAATTTTTAAGAACAATAAAAGTAATGCTAACTGATAATCAAGAAGACAACATCAAATGAGTAAAATGATGGGATCTGTTACACTATAATTGAATTTCTTAGAATAAATAAATTAATTAATCAAACCATGCCTGCTGAAGATAAAGAATGTGGTAAATGTTTTTACGCTAATGTTTTACCTCAGGCTCTAGCCTCTGGTGGTGTATCAGGCTGCTTTCCTGGCATAGCATCTTGAAAAGCAGGGAGTTCTTTGTACTCCTCGTTTATCCTCGTCAGGACAGGAAATTCATTCTGCCCACATATTGAGGTTAAACTTTTCAATGGAAAATTATCCTATACAAATACAGATGTGTAGATAAACGCACCTACATTTAGGAGTTAAATGCAATGAAGCAAGGTAAAACAGGACTACCAAAGGGAGGAAAGATGTATACTGATGTCGCAGTTGTTAAAAATCCACAATAAATACGATGCAGATGAAAAGACTGAAAGCCGAAATAGGATAAATTCACTCTACCCCAACAGGAAAGATGATTGGATTTCATTGCTGTTGTTTTAGGATACAACTCTTTGAACATGAAACAATGCTGCATGAACCTGGTGACCATTCAATTTGATGAACTTGAAAGAAAAGCAGATGAATAGCATACAACTGATCAAAATTTCTTCAAGAAAATGGAAATTTTAAAGTGTTTCAATTGCATTACTTCAAGAAGTATAAAGTTCCTTATATATGATAGGATTTCGGTGAAGAGCATACCATGTCAACATTGAATCTTCTGACTGCAGCATCAATCTGGGGTGCCAGAAACAAATCAGCCTGCAAGTTTATAGCCCATGAACAAAAATCTTAAAAATACTCCAGATATATGTATAAATCCAATGTATGCAAGATGATACTTGATCGTTTGATTTCCCGCAAGTGATCGAGGTCGTGATCAAGTAATATAGTAGTGTGTAAAGTGTCGAACTCACGAGAACTGTGTGTTTGCTCGAGTTAAAATTAATAATACCCTTAATCGAATAGCAATAATAGTTTATAATAAATCTATATTTAATTTATCACGTACAAGAATTAAAGTAAGAATTTATCAAATTTATAAGATGTATTGCTAAGATCTAGAATCTCCCTTGTTCATCCATTTTTAGTTTAACAATTAAATTAACAATTTGTTATCATGCGAGTTGGTTGAAGTTCCAAATTTATTTAAAAGTCTCTCTCGATAACAATTAAATCTATTCCCCTCATGCGACCTTCCTATTTCTCGATGAAAAATACAAACACGATAAATGCATTAACGAACTAGAACATTATTATGAACCATGCAAAGCATAGAAGTATATCTCTATCTTCTATCGAATCTCACAATATTTATTACTATGTGCTAACGATCCTATTACCTCTCTCGATGATAATAAAATTCACGAGCAATTCAACTAGTGGCCAATCAATTGAAAAGTAAACTAAACCATAATAAACATCCACACATTCTAACAAATTAACGTCAATAATTAATTAATACTAAAAGTTTCAAAACAAGGGTTCATCTATATCTTTAGCAATGTAAAAATCTAGCATAATATATTGAAATTACAAGAAATCATATATAAGTGAAAAGATATGACCCGGATTATTGATAAATTGAGAACGTGAAGATGAATCTTGAAATCTTAAATCTTTTCAATGGTTTCTTGATGAATCTCCACTTGCGCCTTCTCTTTTTTGTCCAAAAATTAGGTTTGAATCTTCACTTGAATGAATTCTTGCTAACCTCCTTCAATTCTCACACAAAAACTATGAATTCTCCTCCTTTGATGATAATAATTAATGAATAATGGAGTATATTATGTACATGAGAGTTCCCCAATATGTACTCTGTTGTTATGTATTTGTAACAATCGAAAATTGGTGAAAAATCACGTTCAAATTGACTTCCAAAAGAGTTCTAATGGAATAAGGAAAGTTGCATTCGCGCGCAGATTTTTTGTCTCTGTAAAGCAGTCAGTATTTTGGCCATAACTTTCTCATCTGATATCCGATTGAAGCGATTCAAAGTGATTTGGAAAGATAACTTAAAGGGCTACAACTTTGATAGAAATATAAATTTCTCAATTCGGACGTTTACTATCTCAAAAATGGGTCTCAATTTTTGACTAAAAATCTGGAATATAACTTGTGTGGTTGGACATTGATTGTGATAATATTTCATTCCTTTTTGACTTCTAATTCCACCCAATTATCTCCTAGAAATTTTCAAAGTATCATCTTGTGGTCTGAATCAATTATTGAATTTGCAATTTGATTCTTAAACTTTGGATTTTGTCATTTTCACTATTTTCCGCTTCTTTCTTTCCATTCCTCGTCCAACCATTGAGTTTTACCTATATAACTTAAAATACAACAATTTAGGATATATTTTGTGAAACTAACTCTCAAATATTGTTATTTTAGAACCTCAAATAAATGCATAAAATACACTTATCAATACTGCAATTATATCAAAATTAGATTATATATAAGTAGTCAAATTAGACTAATTTACATTTGCTCATGGCCGAATATTTTAGGATGTTTGAGGATAAAACACAGTGAAATTTTTATTCAGGACTCAACTGTAATTCAATTAAAAACTTGTATTCATCCTAAGTAGTTGGTACAAATTTGGACCTGGCCAGACCATTAACCTGATAAGTTTCAATTTGTAATTCAAGTATGAAAACATGCACCAGTAATAAACAGAATATATACGAGGAAAGAAATGAACCAGGAAAACTTCATTCCCAGTGGCATATCTTCCAGCATAATTTTCTAATAGCTTCTCCAGAGCTGCAGATTCAATTGGAATAAGAAAAGTGGACTGCATTTTGAGAAACAAAAATAGGACTGTAGCAGCACAAATCAAATAGTTACTAGAATATTCAGATGATAACCATATTTAGCATAAACAGTGATAAACTACCTATTTCTAAAGTAGGTGGCACAAGCACAACTTACAATTCAATTGATATTAGATTCACCAGTGATTTTTCAACTCAAACACTTATTTCCCTGTCAAACTAAGCAAACTGCTTCTCTTTTTCTTTTACCCCTTTGTGACTCGGATGATGGAAGGCCAAATAACAGTCACAAATCACTTATAAAAAGATAATGACTTCTTCTAAACTTGAGTGAAGAATAATTACTTTGTCATGCTGGCAGAACATGTAGTCAGTCAATTCTACAAGTATGACTTGTCCAAGTTACATGTGCTAATCAACTTGATCATTAATTCCATGAGTAAACATAACATTTCAAAAATAGCACAAAATTTTAACAATTAAAGAACGCAAAGTCAAAGGAGTAATGGTGGTTTTGATTGACCAAATAGAAGTATCTACTTCAACTGAAATGCCCTTAGCGATT